TTTACCATGTTTATGTTTAACAACCGTTCTTTAACTCAAAATCTCAACGGCCTCAATCAGATAATCTCTCATATCTATAATCTTCCTTTGAATTGGGCGTGACCCTGAAGACCTTAGCAGACCTTAGACGTTTAGTCTCTCTTTCCCTTCCATAATGCCATTTGATGATAATACAGCTTCATATTCCTGTACTGGTGACCCACTAATAAAAATATGAAGCAGACTTTCGTAGATCTCTTTTCTTTTTCCTTAAGTGTGTTTTTAGGCGTTTTAGGGCACTGCTCACTGAGTGAAGCTGAGATTGAGAAAAAATACTCAGCAATGACGGACTTGATTTATTCGACGTGGACGTTTTAGCATATGTAGGGAAGCCTGGGTTTCATGACCCATCGACATGGTGCGTGAGAGAGGAAAACACATTTAAAACTCTGGAAATGGGTCTTCACTTCGACTCAGACATTTAAAACAATCACTGCATTCTCAGTTCCAAAATTTGTTGTCGGTCTATCTTGCCGTTGGTGTCGCTTTCCCTATTTCGCTGGAGTAGTTGGCATTTGTCGCCAATTCATAACTCTCATGTCGCCATTTCAAGGCCATGTCGCTTGTCGGAATTTACCCCTTAAACAGGGTTTCTCTAATAGCTTCTCAAACTCAGTGATAATTCATCAAGTTCAAACAAAGGACATCATGACCGTGATAGTTTTTGGATATCTAAATCTTACTTAGCATAAATTTTTGCAATTTTATTTCTCTGTTTTCTCCTAATTTTTACTTTTGATAATTGATAAGATATATCAAAACACTTAAGACAGTGTTTGACCACTTTTCAAAAACACCTCGAAGTCCATCAATAATACTCTGCTATGCATCTTATTTTCGACTCTCTTCTTGGTGTCTGGAGTACAGTCTTTTGTGTTTGATGTATTACAAATCAGAATTTTCAAGTATTTTAGGGTCAACTGGAAAAATGCTGTGATAAGGGTAGTGTGCCGTGGCAGATCGAGATGGTGAGGGCCCGATGTTTTTTGTTTGCCCTGCTGGCTTTTCTTCCTTCTGGGATTTCTTTTACCCAAAATAGTGGGGGGTGGAGGCGGGTGGGGTGTGGACTAGGAAGGAGTGAAATTCGCAGTTATACCTATAACTTGGAAAATTATGACTATGTCATTTTACCAAAAAAAATGACAACAACAAAGCTCAGCTTCATGGCTGATGGAAAACTGTTCACGTTTGATGATTCCTGTGTTTGGAGATCTTGCATGTAATTGGTTACAACACAGTAAATATTCTAGACTATTTTAGATTTTCATGCTTTTTAGAGCAGAGTGTACTATTGGGATGTTTTAGAGGACTGCTGTTCGCTAATTCACTAAGTATTAAGGCACTAACACAATAAGGTGTAAACTAAGATGTTTGTTTAGTTAATTAATTTCTATTAATCAATGAGCCTTGCAGGAAGGGGACCCGGGTGGGGTACGTTAACCCCTGTGCACTACGCAAAACATGTTATGACAAAACTATATATATGTTTTTCGCAAATCTCTTGCTATCCTTGTATTGTTATACTCTTAAGAACAAAAGCAATTTGTTCAAAACGCATGCACAGATTAGTTAGCGTCAGTGCCAACTATATGTTAGTTGAAAGATACATTTCATACTGGATTACACATGAACATTGAGTGCTTTTCCTTGTTGTAGAACACAACATGTAAGACGCCTGCATGCTAGTGTTGTTAATGTCATAAACTCTGTTCTTGGGTTCAGATCCATGCATTTTTTAATTTTTTATATGATACCACTCTCTTGTTTTGACCGGGGATAGAAGCTATGTTTCAGGTAATGTCAGTTCTCCCTTTTTAGGGCAAAGAACGCTACTGTTACTGCATATGTTCTGGAATCACCTCTAGCTTGATTCAATAAATTTTGTCTGCTGTTTGCCAGGGTTCAAATAAAGAATAGAATCATATTGCTTTTCCTTAGCAGCTTGTTGACTTTGACAGTACAAAGATATGTGTTACCATACTGGATTATCAAGGATGAACCTAAAAAATATGCAAAAGGATTTCGGTGGACTTACAGAAAGTTGGAGCTTATATCCAGGAGGGGGCTTGTAATTGGGATGTTGCATTGGGGGATTAAAGTTAGATATATGTAGAAAATGTATTTATTCACTCACACACTTCTTCATTTATCCGTCCTTTAGCCAGTAGTGGAAGGGGAGAGAGAGCTTCAAGAAAAAAAAGATCCAGGTATACCTTATTGCAGGAAATAGATCTGACGAAATTTATCTACTGAAATGATTGAGAGAAGATTTGCATATCATACAGTGCACTGAGAGATTCCAGGAGAATGTGCTGAAAGGATTGGCTTTTTTGCTAGCTGTTTTGGACTCATGCATATATACATTTTTTGGCCTACATGCATGTTAGGAGACTTACAACCAGGGGTGCCGCATTTGATGATAAAAGTTTGATTGGATGACCACTTAAAATTGTTTTAACAGTTATTTCAGTACAAGATAGACATATGTAAGTAAGTATTTGTAGGCCTGTTGGTGTTATCTGGCTAATTCCGTCCCTTCCCATGCCTTATAAAGGGTCATAGAATGGAGGGGCGGTTGTCCTTGTCAGGGCGAAGGCTTGGAAAAGACAGTAAGTCACCGGACAATGTCCGGCTTAATAATTTAGTGATTTGGCCAGTCAAACTTGTTGACCAGTAACACATTTGATCATATTGTCCCATTCAAAGATGCCACATGTTTCTACCAGGGGTCAAGTAACCTCCAGAAATTTTAATCCCATTGGATGGAAAATAGGGGTAATATTCAATACCTATGGCGCTATCACAAGCCCTGAGGGTGCTGTCTTGTCCGTGGCCATGCCCTCAGACATGCGTGCATGATGAAATTTTAGGTTTTCTTAAGTACCACTCCCTGCATTTTGGCTTTACAGGTGGCAACAAAAGTTTAAAGGAAAGCATGATGTTCAAGTGGAATTTCCTCACGCATGGAGGGGTTCAACCCCCCAACCCCCCTTACCCCCACTTTGTGGGCTATTATGTAGCAATATATCATAATATTTGTATCCGATCAAGTTTTAAGGTTAACACAACACCTTGGGAGTTCTACTTTTGTCACATTTTTCTCTTTAAGGAATTTAAGTGAAACAAAAAGGTTGCTATAAAACATCGCCATTAAAACAAATCACATAATGGTGAATAAATCTTGTCACTTTAAGTGTTCATGCTTTTTGTAACTTAAACAGTACAATATGTTTATATGTANGGAAATCAAAAAACATCAAGAGTTCAAGGTTGACAAGACCACGCGAGATGGAAAGAAAAACTACTTTAAAAGGACGCTAACTCAGCTTTTATATGTGCGTGGTGACGCTTAAAGGTCCGATTACAAAACCAATAAAGAAGAAGTAAACGTTGTAACTACATTCATAACTAAGATAAAGAGACAATTATTAACTAATCAAAATTGACCTTTGTCCTTAACACATATCATACAGTGCACTGAGAGATTCCAAGAGAATGTGCTGAAAGGATTGGCCTTTTTGGCTAGCTGTTTTGAGTTCATGCATATATACATTTTTTGGCCTTGCATGTTAGGAGACTTAGAACAAGGGGTGCTGCATTTGGTGATAAAAGTTTGATTGGATGACCACTTAAAATTGTTTTAACAGTTATTTCAGGACAAGATAGACATATGTAAGTAAGTATTTGTAGGTTGTTAGTATTATCTGGCTAATTCCGTCCATTCCCATGCCTTATAAAGTGTCGTAGAATGGAGGGGTGGTTGTCCTTGTCAGGGCAAAGGCTTGGAAATGACAGTAAGTCACCGGGACAATGTCCGGCTTAATAATTTAATGATTTGGCCAGTCAAACTTGTTGACCAGTGACACATTTGATCATATTGTCCCATTCAAAGATGCCTCATGTTTCTACCAGGGGTCAAGTAACCCCCAGAAATTTTAATCCCATTGGATGGAAAATAGGGGGTAATATTCAATACCTATGGCGCTATCACAAGCCCTGAGGGTGCTGTCTTGTCCGACTGGGCATGCCCTCAGACATGCATGCATGATGCAATTTTAGGTTTTCTTAAGTACCACTCCCTGCATTTTGGCTTTACAGGTGGCAAAAAAGTTTAAAGGAAAGCATGATGTTCAAATGGAATTTCCTCAGGCATGGAGGGGTTCAACCCCCCAACCCCCTTACCCCCACTTTGTGGGCTATTATGTAGCAATATATCATAATATTTGTATCCGATCAAGTTTTAAGGTTAACACAACACCTTGGGAGTTTTACTTTTGTCACATTTTTCTTTTTAAGGAATTTAAGTGAAACAAAAAGGTTGCCATAAAACATCGCCATTAAAACAAATCACATAATGGTGAATAAATCTTGTCACTTCCACCTCAACAACTTTGATCAGTGACACTTGAACTCTGGTGTTGACTTTGGTGCTGAAGCAAGTAAGGAATTTGTGGGCATACCTTAATAACTTGGAATGACAAGGCCAATTTGTGAGTAAAATGAGGAACCAATTGAAAGCTGTTTTGTGGCTGACATAAAAACTTTTAACCTTCTTTGGTTTCTATGGTCTGGAAATCTTGCATCTGATTTGTAACAAGACAAATTCCAGACTATTTTAGGTGTTCGTGCTTTTTGTAACTTAAACAGTACAATATGTTTATATGTACTCTACTTAAAAATGTCACTTGTGAGTCTAAGAACATCTAAGAGGTTTTACGTGGACTCAATGTATCTTAAAGAGGGGGTTTGTAAGTGGGAGGTGGGATTGGTTGCTTGAAATTAAAGACTGGCAGATTTAGAAAATATATTTATTCCCTCACACACACTCACTTATTTATCTGTTCTCCCTCCTACTTCCATCCATTCATCCATTTATTTTGTAATTCTTCCTGCAAATCTGATCAGATTGCTCATTAGCTACTGGCCATATAAAGTAATCTGTGTGGTTGCGTATTTCAGCAGCTAGTGAGAGGCATGATGACATACCTGAAGGAGAGATGCCTGTTGGTGGCTCAGGTGGAATTTATCCACTGCTGGATCCTCAGTCAAAGAGTGAAGTAGGAACAGAAACTGAAATGTCCAAGGTTGCTGAACCAGCTGTCACACTGCTGATAAGAAATCTGTTTGTGGCAGATTTGACAAATGGCAACAGAGGTGCAGGTGACTCAGTGGACCCTGGTGCAGTTGTGGATGGAGAGAGGGAGCTTCAAGGTAAAAAAGGTACATGTATACTTTATTGTAGAAACTATTTTTACCAAAATAATTAGAAATGATTGGGAAAAGATTTGTGTATTGTACATAGACTGCTGGAAGTTTGTTTTTCTCTCAAAATTCAGCAGGAAGTATGGGGTGGGACATTTCAGCCTAAGATTAGGATGAGACGTGTACAGGCCACTCGCTCATACCGCCCTTTGCATAACCAGCCATCTCTTTAACACCCTAGACTGTTCACAGCCTCTCTATTTTTCAACACATGTGAAAGAAAAAGTGAGCGTGAGTCACACAGGGGTGGGGGCAGGAAGGCAGGCAAGAGAAGCAAGCCAAATGAAGAATAGAGAGACTGAAGACACCTTTGGAAAAAAGTGGTTTCATGAGGCTCCTCCTCCTGTTATCGCCTTATGTCTGACAGCTCTGCTTCTTGACCAATTAAATAAATTGGACCAATTAAATTTGAGCAGTAAATTGCTCCTCTAATTGATTTACTCTGTTTGCAAACAATAATACGTGCATTTGGATGTCGAGGATGTCATCTCAGAAAACCATTACTCCAAAAAAAAACTTGCAAAAAGGGGGAGAAAGCCAAAATCAAGCAGTCCTTTTGATTTTTGTGGGATATGCACTTGTTCCTTTGCTACGGTATTCGCTTGAGGAATTTTGGTAAGACTTCTCATGCACCAACAGAAAATGTCTTTGTTGAGCCTAAACACGAAGGTGTTACACTAAGCAGGACACAATTGTGTGTGTAGTGGGAATCTTCGTTCTTCAACATGTTTTAAAATTTTGCATCCAAAAATCTTTTACAGCACCAAAAACAAACTTGTATTTCACTTCTCCAATGAGCAGAAGCACATCGTCCTTTGTTGACAAAATGATGGAAGGAATCCTGAGCTCTTCCATCTCTATTATTTCATCTTAAATGATACTTTTGAGTGGCGAAACAATGAGAACAACAACATTCGCACCATTTGCATTTCTTTTGCTGTTGCATAGAGTTGATATATCAGACTTTTCTCAGAGCCGGTCAGCAAAATTGTAATGATGTCCTTCGACTGAGGAAGATGAACAACCTTTTTCTGTTCAACTTCCAGTGAAGAAACATGTGAAAATTTCTCTAAACAGTATTCTAACAAATGCTCACTTAGGAATCATGGCATGTGTCAAAGATGACAACTACTGCAAACTGCAAAACATGCCTGGACCCAACCTGGACGCAATCACGATCACTCGTTGTTAAGGTGATGACTATTTTATTTCTCTGTCAACTAATGGGAATTTCCTGTTTCTGGAGAAACAGGGAATTCACTTTTTTCCAAAGATGTCTACAGCCCCTCTATTTTTCTCAGTCCCCACCCCCTACCCTCTGAGGTCTCTTGTTTTGCACTGGTGTCCATTTCTCTCAAGATTTTATCCTCACATTAAACAATCTAATAAAGATACATGAAATAGAGGGCTCTCTACAGTCTAATCTTACCCTAAGAGGAAACACTAAGTCATCCCAGTCCCTCCTCGTCCATCATGCATTTTTTCAAGTTTGTGTTCGCAGATTAACACTAGCTCATTAGACCCTAAGAGAAAAAGATCGACTGCCAGCAGCCTATATTATATCTACTGAGTATAATGAAAAAGTCAAACTGTTAGTATCAGGATGTACTAAAGGGATTCGCTACTGTTTGCTAGCTGTTTTAGTGGTACACTGTAGTTGTAGTTCAAGTACTGAGGGACAAACAAGGCTGTGTTCTAAGAAAAATTACATGAGCCCAAAGGTTCCTATCCATGAAATTCTGGGTGCCCAGCACTTAAGTTTATGTGAAAAACGTATGATTTTCCAGTTGTCCAAAGGTGGAAGCTTCTGTCGCCTGTGGCACCCAGGCACTTCCAGAGCATCGAGCCCTGACAAATAACACTTAGTTTCATGTATTGGAAATGGAAATTAAAATTAATTTGTTGC